CAGCAGGCACGAGAAAATGCCGCGAAACAACTAAGGCTAACGAATCAAAGGGCTGCCCAACTTGAGGCTGACCTTCGAGTAGCCCTTGAGAAAGCTACTAGGGCAGAGGCTCACTCCGTGGAGATGGAGAGGATAAGAGATGCCACTGACAGGGGCAAGGCTGATGTATTCGTTGATGACTATGATGAGTTCAAGAGGAAGGTCTCAGCAACATTCTTTGCATATGACTTTTCTGACTTTCAGCCTTATAAGGCCCCGTAGATCGATGAGGAGGACGCGAGCAACAGGAGCAGAGACAGTGAGTGTCAGTAGTGGCATGAAACTTTTCTATTTTTTGTTGACAGATTGTATTCTATCCTTTTGTAAAAAGTTCATGGACCTGAATGAAATACAAATTTTTTGAAAAAACATTGAGAAATTTTATTTCATTACTCAAAGTAAATATTTGAAGAAGATCGACCAACATAGAAAATTGACCAAAATAAAAAGTAAATAATCTAATCAATGGACACCAACTCATAATTTACTGCCTTGCCCTCAGCTACTGGTAATACTTCTTTAGAGGCTCTGCATTCCATGGATGGGTCAGGACCTTTCCTTCAAAGTTTTGGATTTTGTAGGTCCCTAGCCTTACCACTTTCGTGATTATGCAGGACCATTCCCAGTTGGTCCCAGTTTTCCTTCTTAGGAGTCTTTGGTAGACAGGATGACCTTCTTGAGGACTAGGTTCCCGAGAAAGAAGGAGCGAGGCTTCACCCTCGAGTTGTAGTATTTGGTCATGCGACACTTGTACTCTGCATTCTTGAGCATTGTTATCTCCTTCTCCTCCTCTACCATGTCGAGGTTGATACGAAGGCCTCCTTCGTTACCAATTGGGTCATGGAGTTGGACCCTAAGGGAGTGTACCTCTATGTCAATGAGTATCATTGTCTCTGTCCCGTAAGCTAGGGAAAAGGGGGTCTCGTCCGTAGGACTTCTTGGTGTCGTCTGCTAGGCCATAGTACCCTTGAGAGTTCATTTACCCATCTCCCTTTTACAGTCCCCAGTATGGCTTTCAAATTGCGGAGTATGGTCCTAACAATGACCTCTACTTGCCCGTTTGCTTGTGGATAGACAGGGATGGAGTGGGGCTACTTGATCTAGAGGTCTGCACATAAACCGTTGAGGAGTTTGTTGTCAAACTGCTTGGCATTGTCACTCACAATGGTGTGAGGTATTCTAAAGTGGCAGACTAAATTCCTCCATATAAAGCCTTTTATCTTCTGGTCCGTGCTTCTGGCTAAGGCCTCAACTTCTGCCCACTTAGTGAAGTAGTCAATGGCTATGACTACAAACTTGAATTAGCCTTGACTCACAGGGAGGGGACCCAAGATGTCAATCCCCCGCATGGAGAAAGGTCATGGGCTCTAAATAGTGGTGAGCTCTTCGGGCGGCTATCTGGGCACAGTCGCAAAATGCTGGCACTTGTCACATCTCTTGACAAATTCTCAGGTGTCTCAGATCATGGTAGGTCAATAATATTCCTGTCTGACTGCTTTATGGTCCAATGCACGCCCTCTTGAGTGATTTTCACATATCCCCTCGTGGATCTCCCTTATAGCGTAGTCGGCTTCCTTGGGGGTGAGACAACGAAGTAGTGTGAGAGAATGACTTTTCTTGTAGAGGGTGTTTTGCAGAATGTTGTATCTTAATGATCTGATCCTCAATTTTTTGGCTTCTACCCGATTGTCTGGGAGAGTGCCCTCTACTAGGTAAGCTCGAATGAGAGTCATTCAGTTGAACTCCAAGGATACACAGTAAATTCCATCCTCTGTCATGGAGGAACTAGGCCCAAACTAGTGACCTGTAAGCACTGGGCCCATAAGTATGTTGGTGGAGGCAAACTTGGCGAGGGTGTCTGCCATGACAATATCCTCTCGAGGCACATGGTGGATCTGGAAGCAGACAAACTTTGTGAGTAAAGCTTGGACCACCGAGAGGTACTCTTGCATCTTTTCCTCCTTCGCTTCGAAGTCCCCCCTCACCTGGTTGACTATAAGCTGAGAGTCACTGTAGGCTGTCAGGTTGAGGACCTCCATCTCCAATGCCAGTTTCAAGCCTGATATAAGCACTTCGTATTCAACTTGATTGTTTGATGTAGCAAAGTGGAGGGAGACGGCGCACTTTAGTGGAGTGTCATGAGGGTTGATCAGTACAAGTCCGGCTCCGTCGCCCTCGTTGGAGGAAGACCCATCCACGTAAAGTCTCCAACATGGTACAATGGGTAATGGAGAGGGAATCAGCCCCACGGGCAACGCTGGCCTTGAAGAGGTAGGAGGCAGTGTGTTGCTAGGTGACGCCTGGAGAGAGAAGTGTGAGGCAGTCGTAGAAGGCAGTGCCCCAAGCACCGTGGGCGGCGCCCCGGGCTGTTCAGGTTAGGGTTTCTCCTACGAGTTGTCATGTCCTCCTGGGGTCGCGTCTGGTCCAGTCTCGTGGCAGGTGGAGTCGGAGTGTACTAAGTAGGTGGGCACAAGGGCATCTAGTACTCCCTCCTGGAGCTCTTGTGATGGTGTGGACTCTATCACAAAGTTTGCGAGTACTTGTGCTTTGATAGCTGACCGTGGTTGATATTGCATATCGAACTCGTTCAACTCGACGACACACTTGAGGAGTCGGTCGGATACGTCAGGTTTTCCCAAGATTCTTTTGAGTGGTTGATCTGTGACAACCACGATGGTATGGCTCTGAAAGTAGTGGCGTAAACGCCTAATGGTAGTGGCAAGGGCGATGACTAACTTTTCAAGCTCTGAGTACCTCACCTCTACCCCTCGGTACGCCCTACTTACATAGTATACGGGTTTCTGGATACCCTCATCCTCTCTGATGAGGACAGAGCTTACGGCGGAGGGCGAAGAGGAGAGGTATAAGTAGAGAATCTCTCCTGTTACAGTATGGGAGAGCAGTGGTGGTGTGGCAAGATATGCCCTGAACTTCTGGAAGGCCTCCTCTGCATCTAGGCCCCATTGAAAAATACCTGCGGAGGATTTTAAAGAAAGATAAACATTTATCCACTGATTTAGAGACAAACTTGTTGAGGGCTGCTATCCACCCATCTCCAAGACGGCTCTGATTTTGTCTATGTTGGATTCAATACCCCTTTTGTGGACAAATACACATGTACCCAAACACCCTTCTTCTTCCTCATTTCTTTTTTTTTCTCACACTCACACTCACACACACGCCAAAGCTCACATCACATAATCTTTGCTCGCTTTCTCTCTCTCTCTCTCTCCCCGATTAGCTCTATGTGCCTCCCTTCCTCAAACCTGCTCTTCCCACTCTCTTTTCTCTCTTTTATTTGCTCTCTCTGCTTCTTTATGAATTCCAACGCCATTGCATCTCCACCAACCACACTAATAGCACCACTCCACCCAATTCAATTCAACATACAAAATAATAAACATGATTCAAGTCAATTCAACGCTAATTCTCAACACCACCAATCTTATTCCATCATTCCTTAACCCAATTTGGTGATATAGATGGAAAGAGNGGAGTCGGAGTGTACTAAGTAGGTGGGCACAAGGGCATCTAGTACTCCCTCCTGGAGCTCTTGTGATGGTGTGGACTCTATCACAAAGTTTGCGAGTACTTGTGCTTTGATAGCTGACCGTGGTTGATATTGCATATCGAACTCGTTCAACTCGACGACACACTTGAGGAGTCGGTCGGATACGTCAGGTTTTCCCAAGATTCTTTTGAGTGGTTGATCTGTGACAACCACGATGGTATGGCTCTGAAAGTAGTGGCGTAAACGCCTAATGGTAGTGGCAAGGGCGATGACTAACTTTTCAAGCTCTGAGTACCTCACCTCTACCCCTCGGTACGCCCTACTTACATAGTATACGGGTTTCTGGATACCCTCATCCTCTCTGATGAGGACAGAGCTTACGGCGGAGGGCGAAGAGGAGAGGTATAAGTAGAGAATCTCTCCTGTTACAGTATGGGAGAGCAGTGGTGGTGTGGCAAGATATGCCCTGAACTTCTGGAAGGCCTCCTCTGCATCTAGGCCCCATTGAAAAATACCTGCGGAGGATTTTAAAGAAAGATAAACATTTATCCACTGATTTAGAGACAAACTTGTTGAGGGCTGCTATCCACCCATCTCCAAGACGGCTCTGATTTTGTCTATGTTGGATTCAATACCCCTTTTGTGGACAAATACACATGTACCCAAACACCCTTCTTCTTCCTCATTTCTTTTTTTTTCTCACACTCACACTCACACACACGCCAAAGCTCACATCACATAATCTTTGCTCGCTTTCTCTCTCTCTCTCTCTCCCCGATTAGCTCTATGTGCCTCCCTTCCTCAAACCTGCTCTTCCCACTCTCTTTTCTCTCTTTTATTTGCTCTCTCTGCTTCTTTATGAATTCCAACGCCATTGCATCTCCACCAACCACACTAATAGCACCACTCCACCCAATTCAATTCAACATACAAAATAATAAACATGATTCAAGTCAATTCAACGCTAATTCTCAACACCACCAATCTTATTCCATCATTCCTTAACCCAATTTGGTGATATAGATGGAAAGAGAGAGGAGCTGTTGGGTTATGGAGAGGAAGTACTCATTCCATTCAATTCTAAGAAAATCTCTTATTACTACCCGATTGACTTTGTGAAATTACCCACCAAAATTCGTGGTTACTTACACCTTGGGGGGTATGAACGTATGGGTTTATGATTGTGCAGAAACAGAGGGGATTTAGGATTATTTGTGGGGCGGTAGGGATAGTATAAACTAGAAAAGAGGGGAAACAAAAAGAAACGGAGGTGGTAGAGGACGAATTTGAGAGCTCCATGTCGGTGGGGGAAGAATAGAGAGAGAGGATGTGGGTAGGGGAAAGGGGTATTCGCTGGTTAGGGCCGGCAGAAGCCTGTTGTATTCGAATTAAGATTCTTACTTTTATCCGGTTAAATCAATACGAAGAACTTAATCAAAAACCGGGTCATTTAAGGGGTCCAACTGGAGCACATTTCGATCAGATTTATAATCCAAATAAACTATAACAAAACAGACCCACCCCCTACATGCATGGAGTGTATTTTTGAGCCTATTACCAACTTACAAATATCCTTTCCCATGTCATTAAACTTTCAATTATGAAAATACTAAAATCAACTCATGCTATACTCACCGGTGACTTATTATTAAATCCACCGTATTCTATATTCACCTCTTTAATCACTAAACTCACCTCGTGTAGTGTAATGTTTAACTAAAATGCAAAATCATAAAGAGTTCTTATTTATTATGTCTTATTGTAGCGAGGACAAAAACAACTAAATTCCAAATAAATATGAATGTTAACAGAAAAAACGGATAAGTCTTTACTCATTCACTTTTTATATTTTAATTATTCCTTGTAAATAATTAACAACTTTTTACTCAAACACTTGGTTGACCCAATTACTTTTTTTTATTCTAAATTTTTAGGGTGGACCCAATTTAAGAGTGTTCAAACAAAAAAGAAAAATACAATATCTATTCCCTCCGCTATGAGTGGGATGTATGTATGAGTGGCCTTAATTAATAGTTTCCTGTTGAGTGGGAATAATCCCATTCTTTTTTTATTAAATGCCAAGTTGCCAACACTATTTATTTGATTACTCAAACCAAATTAACAAACAAAACAAGACAGTGCAAGAAATAAATATTAACAAACAAATCAGAAGGAACCTGAAAATAATGGCAAGTGCAAAGGTAAACGCTGGTGTGAGATTGCTGATGATTGTAGAAAGAGTCGGAGTACTGTACACTAAACCCATATACCCCAACGTATGACCTAAAAACCTGCAAAACCCACAAATAAACACACAAGAAGATGACCCATATTCTGAATCCAAACCACTATATATTTATATAAGAATAATTAACAGTATTAATTAGAAATTTAGAATGCTTGATATTTTCTATACCCAATAAGCCCAAGGAGGAAAATTCTGTTGATGAAAGAGAAGTTGAGCGGAGGAAGTCTTTTCTTTCTGCAAATTATATGTTAGTTGTTGTTCTAATAAAACAAAATTGCGAAGGAGTTACTAGTATATATATATATACTAGGGGATAAAGAAACGGACCTTTCGAAGATGAAGGCGAAAGGAAGGAGAACCAGACCAGCTAGAGAATGAGCGTAGACCATGAAGACACGATAGCTAATTCCTTGAGATGCTGCTGCTTTAAACGCTGTGGTTACGCCAACGTTGGAGCCCAGCGATATAATCACCGCTACAAATGGCAGCACTTCCCTGTAACAAAACCCTGCCCTTTCCATTACTCTCTCTCTCGGAAACTAAACTGGTCCGGTTCTTGAGTCAGTCTTCTTCACAGCGAACTGGTAGCTGAGTCTTCTCTCTCTCTCTCTCTCTCCCTCCCTCAGCTACTGAACATTGATGTATGTATGCACAGATCCAGTTTCCAGATATGTATGTTGGTATTTTGCAGAAAGAGAGAGAAAGTGGGGTATACGCCAGTCAATTTGATGTGTTTTTATTTGTTTCTGAAGTGGGTACTCCTAGTTTTTTATTCATTATTTATTTTATTGTTAGAGTTTTAATTGATTTAAAATATCTTTAATTTATTAAGAATTTAATTATTTTAATAGTTTTATTATTACTTGAATTATTTTGTTTTTAAAAGACTTCTTAAGAGTCTTTGTTAAAATTAATCATATAGCATAAGTTGATAGAGGTTCTATTATTAAGTAACAGAACATGATTTTAACGTGAAATTTTCATCAAGTCGTCTTCTTTCTTCAGTTTTTAATTTTTTTTTCGATTAATTATTTGGTGTCTGTGGGAAATATTTGAGTGTTTAATATTTTTTGACAGCTTTGTCGGGAACGATAAGAAAGTGGAAGTGGGGGCGGTTCGTCTGTAGTGCTCTGTTTGGTACGCTAAAAAAATAGAAAGATAGAAAATCATAAGGATTAAAAATTATAAGGATAAATAAAATATTATGTTTGGAAAGTAGGAAAGATGAAAAAGTGGATGGATTAACTTTCCTTGCAACTCACAAAAATCAATCTCTCCACAATGGAACGAAAAATGGATGAAAAATTAATTATTTGTATTAAAATGTATCTTATTTTTCTATATATCTTTTTATTTATAAATGTATTATGTATACATTAATTTCATATAAAAATATAATGATAAAATATGTATTTATATATATTTAAAAATTTTAAAAATTTAAAAATTAAAATTAAAATTAAAAAATAAAAAAAAATTAAATTAAAAAAATATTTTTCCCATTTTAATTAGAGGTGAAAATTTGTAACTAACACGATGACATGATTCGAAGCCGATACGAATTTTATGACACGAATTTGATAAACTCGAATACGAACACGACACGAAAATAAACAGATCAACTTGTAACTTGACACGACACAATTAATTAAATGAGTTGAGTTAGATGTGAATAATATTTACACAAACCCATAATGACTCAACACAAATCTGACACGATACAATTTGATTTAATGATAAAAAATATATCTCTCTTATTTTTTATCCTTCTTATTTTTCACCTTTCCAATCAAATGGAAGATTAGTTTTTTATTGGTGGTTCATTTGCTCATATGAATCTTACCCGCCAATGCCATCATAAATATTATTAAAAGACTTAAAATGGAAGAATCAACTGTTTTTTTTTTTGAACAACTGAATGATACCTGTACTACGTTGAAATATCAACCACTCAAGAATAATCCAATGGTTTTGGAAAACTGAATGGTACCTGAATTACGTTGAAAACATCAAACACGCAAAATAATATTACATATAATAAAATTAATTAAAAAAATGAAAAAAATCAAGGAAATAAAAAATAAAGAAAAACCCACAAGGATGATGAAATACATACACTTAAGACATCAATCAATTAAGTTAATCCTTCCCAAACTTACATTCTTTTGCTAGTACTTTTGGATTTGAGTCCCTTACGCCAGCTTAGAGTTCAAAATTCGCCCCGAGCTCTTGAACATGTAGGTCACAATGCGGAAGAGATTCGACAAATTCTTTCTATAGTACCAGCCATGTTTTGGCTCCCACTCCCATGAATCATTATAATAAATTAATCCAACTCTCACTAACACTCTTACCAAACTTTTTGTTTAGCAAAGTAATGTTAGAAAATATAAAAAAGAGAAAATTTTAAAATTTTACGTGTGTTTGTTTTGCATGAAATAAAAATTAATAAAAAAAATAATTTTTTTTTCATACTTAGATTTTCTCACATCTAACTAACTTTTTTTTCTTATAAAAAACACAAAAAAAAAAAAAGAAAGTTACGTAAAATATCCCAACTTCTCATTTTACCAAACATTCAATTAGTTTTTAATTTTAAAAAATCTTGTACAAATTAGGTTAACCATATAATTTAGTCTTGATATCAAGGTTGGAGTCGATCATTATCCCTAAATTAGGTTAAAAGCTAATTTTTTAAAAATTTGAATAATAAAAAATATTTTTTTAGACCAAATTAAAATAATTAAGAATAATTTAAATATTCAAAAAAATTCATTTAACTTTTCTTTCTTTCATACAATAGAATAAAATTATTTTAAATTTTCTTGAAAATTTTTCATACTAACTACATGAAAATATATATTTTCTTTCCTTTTACTTTCTATTTATTTCATTTCACTTTACTTTATTTTTTATCTTTTTCTTATCACACCCCTCATAGATGGGGAAAGAATAAAAACAGTTGTGGGCAAATTGGAGAGTTTGGTGGAATCTGCAATAATTAGTGCCGGCCTTGTCCTTGCCTCCCACTCAGGGGCAGAGCCACGTCGGGCTAGGGCTAGGGTGTCCCTCAATTTGTTTTATTTTGTATTAAGTATATGTATTTTTTAAAATAAAATTTAAACATATTTAATTGTGTTTATCCTAATAATAATATGTTTTGGTAATATTAATTTAAATAGACCGTTACTTAAATGATTGTTAACTTTTTTATACACTATTCCTCAAAGAGTAATGTTATAAATTCAAAATATTGTAATTTAAATGTATTTTATTTTTTAGATGAGTAGGTCTCATCAATTTTTTTAGTGAGTCCAATTATCTCGTATTCATCCTTCTCTTCCGCGAAATCATATTACAGGTCGATTGAGATGACAGGTCCACTTGCACAAACGAATAATACAGAATTTCGGTGTTGGATATTTTACTTGAATGCCTTATTGTATTTCATTTTTGGGAGGGAGACCAAGTAGCATAATTATTTATGGGATCAACTGAATCTCATATATAATTATTTATATGATCCTTCTAAATGTCGTAATAATTCTCTAAATAGAAACTAAGAGACGCGGTGATCCTTAATTAGAGGTTAATTGAACTAGATGTCCTTGAAGTACGAAGTTTGTTTTATTTTAGTTATCAATATTTTAATTATATCATTTTAATCCCTGAAATATTGAATATGTTTCTGTATGATTCTCTTAAATAGACAACATCTAAATTACTAGTGATTTTTTATCATAAACTTGTTACATAATATTTAAATATGGGTAAGAAATAATTTGGGTAGTTCTTGACCGATATTTAAATAGTTTTTTTACCAAAAATATGTAATATGAGTAGTTCTTGACTAAATTTGGATAACTCATGATTAAAATTATATAACGTTGATAGTTCTTTGACCAAAAGTTGGGTAGAAATTTAGTTTAGAGTTATTCAAATGATCTTTTTACCCATATTTAAGTATTACGTAATAAGTTTATAATAAAAAATTACTAACAATTTGGACGTTGTTTATTTGAGAGACTATATAGAAATATATTCAATACTTCAGGGACTAAAATAATGCAATTAAATTATTATGGACCAAAATAAGACAATCTCTATATTTGGAGGATCGCTAGTGTAATTAGTTGTATAACTTATCATAAATACTTTTTAAAAAAATTTACTGTTTGGAATGGCTTTACCAACACTACTACCCCCACCATCCACCATCACTACAACAATAACCACCACTTCTGCCATAACAACCATCACCCTCACCACTATCACCATTACCACCACCGTCGTCGTCGCCGCCACAGCTACCGTCATCCCACTATCACCACCACACCCACCGCCCCACCACCACACCACTATCACCACCACCACAACCTCCCCACCCCCACCCTCATTCCCCACCACCACCATCTCTAGTATCACTACCCCCATTACCATCATCACCACCACTAATACCACTGTCACCTCACCATCACCATCACCACCATCGCTATCATCACCATTGTCACTATCGCATCATCACCCTCTATCACCACGCTCACCGCTCCATTATAACTATTACCACGACCACCACAATCACTGTCGCTACCCTACCACAATCTGTATTGTCCCACCATCACTATCACTCCTACCACCATTTCTATTGCTTCACCACAACCATCACCATTACCACCAGCACCCATTATCACCCAACAACATCCATCATCGCCCACCACCATCGCCACCCACTGATATTCACCCCCACCACACCTATCACCACCACCACAACTACAATTCGTTACCACCTGTTACACTGTTTCTTATAAGTACTCATCGTTGCCTATCACCACCATAGACACCGCCCACCACCACCACCACCATCGTTACTCATGACTACCACTACCACCATGTCACCTAAAATCCACCACCACCATCACCGTTGTCACCCACGATTGTCACTATCACCACGATCGTCGTCACCCATCATAACTATCATCGTCTTTCACCACCACTATTGTTGTCCACTACTATTACTACCAACCACCATAACCATTGTCCACCACTAACATTGCCTTTGCCCATAGCTGCCACTATCATCATCGTCACCTAAAACCTATCACCACCATCACTGCTGTTGTCGTTACCCATCACAACAATCACCATCTCCTACCACCACCACTACCAGCACCATCTCTTACCACCATCACTGTTGCCACCACTACTATCACTGCTCATCCTAATTATAATTGATGCTTAACTTCCTTTCTCTCTCCTCTATGTTTGTGATTTAATTTTAAGTGTGATTACAAATATGTTTACTATTAATCATTTTTTTTTAACTTTGTACCTTTAGGCATGGACAATAATTAATATATATATATATATATATATAATAATATTAAAAATAAAAAATAATAACATTTAAACACACAATAATATGATCATTTACACACAAAAAATAGTAATATTTAATATTAGTATTTTAAAAAAATAACAATAGTAACATATTCAACAAAAATAGTAACTTACTTAACAAAAA